AACTATATTATTTGTGTTATGTGTATAGTATAATAAGTGTTTACATTTCGAGGACGTCCAGTCGAAATGAAATTAGGAACAAAGAAGAATGTTTTTATTACATATAACAGTGAATAATGAGTAATGTAAATAATTGAAATATATTAAGGAAAACAATAACAGTTTCAAGCCATATTTGTATTTATTATTTACGAGTTGACAGAAAATGTGATTTAGTTGAAAATCGAATCTGGTTTGCTGGTGGTGTAAGTGTAATGAGTAGGAGCACAGCGAAAATACTACCGTTTTACTTGTAAACAGTAATTTTTCGCAGGTGTTATTATAAATGAAAGTCAGTCCCGCATTATAGAAGTAGATACAAGTATACAACTATACAAGTACCCTGCAGTATTAACATTACCAAACAACGTAGGTTCTAATCGAGTACGGGTGTACAAAGAGAAAAAATCACATTATGCAACATCAACCATGATTTGTTGAATTTCTTATTTTATAATTGTGACATGGTGTACAACATAAAGCTGAGTTTCATCTCTGTTTCATCGTTTAAATAGGTAGGGTGAGGTTGTGTGTGTAATGTGTATCCAGAGTATCTAGCCATATAGGTAGGTGTTTCAATTTTTGAGTGACGATTGACGAAAGTAGAAGGATCATGTAAAAATTGAAACACCCTGTACAAAACTATAATAATATTACTTTAACCAATATATGTAGGTAACTAGGTAAGTATAATACATCACTACTTCTGCCGTACCCACATGGCCACATGACCCGTGTAACTTTAACTCGTTCTCAACATGTAACTCCGGTTTTTCGTTTTTGTACAAAAAAAAATTATAATTTGTTAAAAACTTATTTAAAATTCATACAATTGATTATAGTGTTATTAGTTTACTTCTATCAAAAGTCTCGGATTTCCCAACATGTATTCTTTTTTCATAAACATTGTGTGAAATGCCCGGCTAATTTTTCTTTTTCGTTGGTTTCCTTTTGAATGTTTACCGTTTCACTACTTAATATTTTAAGTTATATAAGTAGTATTATAAGGGCCTACTACTGGATACATATATGAAATAATGAAATAATAATATGATACACCACTGATCATTGTAGTCTGGTGCTTCAAAAAAATATTTTTTGTGCTTTCATTACACTGATGAATTATTAGGTATTTATTTCCACCCAAATATTTGATAATTTATAAATACCTTTTGTATATAAAATAATGAGCAGTAATTAAATACTTAAAGACTTTATACCCCTGACATGTACACTATATGCCTATATACAGGGTGTAACGGGAGTATTTGACAAATATAGTAACGTTTGTAATGGCAATTTTTTTAATAGGCCTGTTACACCTTTTATAGTTATATAGGGGGACGAGGTGGCCGAGCGGTCCAACGCGTCCAATGCGGCGCAGCCGATCCGGGTTCGATCCTTAGTCACCGGGCGGCATTTTTCTTCTGGCAAGTCACGGTGTCCGGAGAATAAGTGCCGCCATCCCCCACTCCGGGGCATGGCAGAAACCTACGGGTGCCCCAATAGAAATTCTGCTAAACACTCATGTGTTCCTAATGCATACGAGACACGTAAAAAAAAAACCTTATATAGTCATATACCATACCAAGGCTGGTCATTAACGACTTAAAAAGGTAATTTTATTTTAATTTTTAACTTAACTAGTTACTTTTGAGTTTTGGATTATCATTAACTTAACTATTAACTTACTACATTTCTTTATTAATTAACATGAAATTAACGAATTCATTTTAGAGGTAAGTTAAGTTCATTTATTTTGTTTTTAATTTTATTTCAGTCTCTTCAATACTTCAATTTTCATATCAAAAAATTTTTACCATGAATTATTAAAGTTAAAAAATTTATATTTTTCCAATCTAACTACTGTACAAAGTATAAACACGCTATATAATCTATAATTTAGTTTTGGGTTGGAAAAAAATTATGTACGCTAGCGTTAACTTTTTTTACTTAGTAAAATGTTAACAAAAAGTGTGTATTAACTTTTAACCTTTCGCTATTGGTGCATACCAAACTAAGTTAAAAAAAATCATCTTGCCCAATCTCGCTATATACCGTATAAATAATAAATATATATTATGTTTAAGATTCTCATAAGTACTAGAACATATTACAGTATTTATACTGCAGTGTATAATTGCAATTATATGTTGGTACGAAGTACCCAGGTATAGTAGGTACCTACTCATCGATAATTTTTGTAATGCTGTGTGCAGAGACGAAACGGACATGGTCAACTGCAACTCGGCGGTCGTCGCCAGCATTCAGGCGCCAACGTTTCACAGTAAACTGTACACACATACATAGATAATAATATATATATATATTATGAAACATAGTAGGTAATATGTGTAGGTACGCTTATACATACAGGATTTTACTACACAGTAAAACACAGCACAGTTTAAACTAAATTGAACATTTTTGTAATTTACAACGAACAATTTAAGTATATTACTGTATAGTAATAATGTCGTTGTCGACGTATTATTTTTATCAACGATAATGTGCACGCAAACTCAAAAATACATAATGCAGCTGCGTCGACCTTGGAGCGGTCACGTCGTATAGATTTTCCGGAGCGTCCTTTGTAAGGCATCGGCATCGTCACACACACACACACACACAGAGTTAAATGACGATGACGGTACCAGGAATTTTATTGTAATTTTGATATTTTTGGAGTAAATAATAGTACTAATAGTAATAATACCATAAAAACTTCATAATATAATTTTTAAAATACAATAGTATCAGGACCGTAAATACGTTTATTTAAGTGGCATCGAAACATGAACCCGAAAACCAACGCAAGTTTATGTAAGATAATAATTGCATGTACTAAATTATGTATACAACTTACTATAAATTTATACTTTTGAAAGGAAGGTAAACGAACAGTACCGGATGTGGTATTTTATGCCGGTACAGCACTGTAAAATGAACGAGGAGAACTTCAACTGTACGCAGTGAGATATCGTGTGCATTTTCGTCTTAAGAAGGTTTCACACCTTTGATTATTAAAAACCTATAAATCTATTTAGAATATTAAAATACATAATTTTAGGTTCACAAATCCACCTGTGACTTTTTTTTTATTTTTGAAAGAATATCAATAATAATCTTTGGATCGTGACTTGCTCACAGACTTGTGGCTACTGAGTACTGCCTACTATATAATAATGAAATGTAAAGCACATTCTTATAGACGACTCATCGTATCGTATGTTTTTCAACATATCACACTGAATCTACTAGGTGAAATACCAAAATGACATTTTTGGTATGAAATAAAACATTTTTAAGACATTTTTCAAGAAAAACAAAAGTATATTTCCTTCTTTTATTATTCATACGATCTTAATATCCAACTGTTTGGGTTAAAATCATGGATTAAGTAGTAACTATACAACGAAATTCATAATATAAAGTGAACTCCAATAAAACAATATTGAAAAACAATTATTGATGAGCACAATGTTTGGTCAATTATAATTCCCCTTCAATATTCACAAGTAAAACAAAGGACCAAACGTAATTTGGGACAACTGAGAATACATAAACATATAACGTACGTGCTACCCCAATAATAATAATAATAATAATAATAATAATAATAAAAAACAAGTGTTATTCACTATAACATAAAATAATAATTTTACGTGCTAATGGAAATCTGCTAAAAAATTGCACATAATTTAATATATAATATGTCTTTTATACAAAAATATTTTTCTAAAACAAAATAATTCATTATTTGTTTGTAATGTAATAATATTTAAAATTTAACTAATTTAACTAGAAAATATATATTTTAAATTAACAACAAAATTGAATCAAATGTATAAAATATACTATGTACAATTCGATATAATATAATTGATTTAATTAATAAACTTAGGTACAAACAAAAAAATTTTATAATAAATTTATTTTATTAATACTCTAGGAAAACGATCCTTAACATTATTATTTGTTTATCGATTTATAAATATATAACATAGACAAAATATAACGTCTGTATAACATATATATGTGTCAGGCACAGATACAAGCGATTTTTAAAAATATGTACATACAATTGCATATAATTATAATTTTGGCACTTACAACGAGTAATAATGAGATTATAAAGTAATTATTTTGATTTATTATGATGCACTTATGCGCATCAAAAACATCACTTTTATCCGATAATATTGGTGTTTATTTCATCAGTCGTTTTTTTCTTACAGAATATAATAATACGTTTATCATGTATAGACATAAATGTGGTTTGCATTTCATATTATTTCATAAATTCTATCAGCCGTGAATAAAAATTCTGTATTAAAAATATTGGCTGAACGTCAAAAATAGATAATTGTATTTTGTATCGTTGCGAGTATCTTGTCTGCGTATTTAAATCAATGCTCTCATCATATTCATGCAGTGTTATAGTTAAATATAAATACTCGCAGAAGCGCTTTTAGTAACATCATGGACTAGCTGTCAACATTGAACTAAAACTCTTAAACATATTGTATTTGCACCTGAAAGCAAAAAATAAATAAATTAACATAAAATAACAGTTTTTACTCGTAATTGCTATTATTTTAACGCTGCATCTGTATGCTAAAAAATTATGATAGTCAGTGGAGTGAAACGTATGCTCGCCCAAGGACGCAATATAATATTGTAGATGTGATTATTGTGTGACAACACAGCACACGGTATACAAAAACTGATCATATAGGATATTAGGAAATTGACCTCTCTGGGTAAAAAAATAAACCAATAGATTAGAACGTTGCCAGAATAGTAGATGGCGTTAGTGGAATATAACTTTGACTTTAGTTCAGAATACTGTTTAAATAATATAATAATAATTGTATATTATGAGTTATTATCTATCGTACAATTCAATTACTCACCATTGGTCGTTATGTACAGTTTTTACCCCACTAGTAAGTTTGTAATTATTTGGTCTTCAGTTGCTGACTCTGAAATACAAATAGCATAAATTATTTTAATATTTTAGTAGTATTCTAAGTAGTAGCATTGTGTTATACATACACACATATGTACGTATTATACTACTATGTTATGAATATTGATTGTTGTGGCATAGTAACAAGGCTCAAATTAAAATGTTTGTAATGAATACAATACAATATCACTAAGATATGCTTACAGTATTCATTAAAAACGATATTTTAAGGCTAGTTTTGTAACGAAATTATATTTGAAAATTTAAATATGATCATTAGTAGTATTTTACTCGTCGTCAACAAATAAAGATGAATCAACGCATACATGCACCTATATTGCCTATACGATACGCCTGATGAAATTACGTATATAGTGACGACACGAGCAGCAAATGGTACCAAGGAGTAAGGACCCTCTCCGTTTAACGGGCAGTCAATTTATAGATACAACAATAAAGACGGCTACAAAATAAGTTTTAAACTTACGATGTGGGTTGCTTGTAGCCCGAGTAATTTCTGCAACTTTTGAAGTTGCTGGACTAGGGACCCATTACTCTCTTCAAGATTGACAATTTTCTTTTTGTACTCGCAATTTTCGGTGACGAGAATATCCACCTTCCTCTCCAAAGTATCCATGTATTCCTTCTTCTTGCGTCGGCTCTCTTGCGCCGATATCTGAGCAAATAAATTACAGTATTATAGTCAAAAATAGAATATTGAAACGGATCGGACGCGAAAACTGTGACACTGCAGAAATATTATAATACTCTGGTGCAATGGTATAGCCTTTGAAATTATGAGTTACCTTGTTTTTAATTTTCCTTCGGATTTTCTTTAACGACTTCTCCTCGGCCTTGGTCAATGGCAACCTGGTAGGTATCGGGTAGCCTTCGGCCAGTAGGGTGCGTTTCTCCTCTTCCGTGAGCGTCAGTACACCGGTAGAACCTTTCGGCTGACAGCTGATCAAAGGCGTCTGTATAGGCTGCCGGCTACTGGTGATGGTAGCGGAGGCGGCCGCTAAAGACGAGGACGACGAGGACGACGACGACATCGTCGACAGGAACAACCGCCGTGTGGGCGACGATCGGTGGTGCGGTGATACGTTACCGCCCTCGCTATCGCTGGACGTGGACGAAGGTGGCGTGGGTGGCAGTGAAAAACCTACAGAGGGACCACAAGAGCACCAGGTAAATATGTGTAATATGTATACCAGTTCGTATAAGATATAAAGTATTATGTCGCTTTTGAGTATGCAGTGTATACAAGTGCAGCGAGGAACATGGTCCTCGCCCCCGCGGGAGTATATTATGTTTTATCTTCTGCGTATCTTCTGCTCCACAATACAAAAATGCAGAGTGTAGTTCGATACGTTATATTGTAATGTAGGTATTTTATTTGTGTATATAATTTATGTCATTGTGGTATTACCTGTGCCATCCATTTTCAGACCGAAGTTTGGGACGATTAATCTGTGCGGTTGGTTGAGGAAAGCTCTGGAGGTCAATACGACTGTGGTTGGTTCTTTGTAACTGGTTTTTTGTACCTGTAATATTTTAAAATATATTTTATTATATAAGATAGGTATATAGTGGATTTTTTACAAACATCTCCATTCGCCATTAAAATATTAAACGACTGTGGTGCGGATTAAACGGGTAAATGGATGAACATTTATTGTAATGTTTATATTGAAAGTAATATATTTTACCATTATTATAGTTACTCGTATAAGAATTATGTAACAATACCTACATATTCAAGGAAATAAATTGTAATATTATATTATGCACAGTGTAAACGTGTATGCAGAATAATTTTAGATTCTGCATGTATCGATGAATGTATTGGATTTACAATGAAGTGTACAATCTTGACATATTTTAAGTTTTTTAATTTTTTAATTTTTGTCTACTTCTTTACTTTAATTTATTTTTACTATATTGAGTCTTTAATATATATATATATATATATTTATAATGTCATAATTAATAATTAAAATTGAAAACTAATAAATTGGCGATTAAATTATTAGTTGGTTTTTATTTAATGTTTATTTTATCAACATATAAAGTATAGAAATGAATGATTATAATTTATTAAATTTCAAGAAATATAATAAAACAATAAACCCTAACACTAATTACTTTAGTTAATAATTTAGATTAAGACTATTTAGTCGTCCTTATGTTTCACAACAATAATATTTAAATTACATTTTAAAAACTTTGTTTATTTGTAATTATTGCACTATTTTAGTGTGTTGAAAATACCTAAAGGCGTAAGCGCGACTATAGGCCCCCCCCCTAAAAAAAAACACTTCTAATAGCCTCCCCTCAAAATAAATTATTCAATTCTTTTCTAAAATATAAACAAATCTTTAAAATTAAACTGTATTCCTTATATTTTTTTTTTTTTTTGATAAAAAATGTAATTATTTAGTTTTTTTAATTTTTATTTAAACTTTTTTTATATTGCCTATGATAAATATGGTAAATATCATAAGCTGTATGCTTGTATTCATTTCAAGGAAACAATTTATGTGGGTAGGATATAAATTATTTTGTATCTTGTAAGATTATTACACATAATTTTACAGTATAACCTATGCACTGAATTATAACATAGAGATAGGTAATAGCGGAATAAAAATCCCCTGAAAAATAACCCCCAGCCTACAATATTACTAACAACCACATGGCAGTTTTAAAACGTAATTAGTGTAATTATTACATTATTAATATTTAATTACAAATATATTATTATACTTATATAATATAGGTATACTTTTCATTAAAAAAAATTATATATAATAAATAATATTCAAAAATTAACTATAATATTGTTTTGTTTTATATCATGATGTGAAACAACATATGTTAATAGTTACTTTAAAAGATTAGTGATTAAGTACCTACATTCATTAAAATTTTTTTAATAATTGTTTATTTTATTTGATGTATCGATCATTCGAAATATTTTTATTTTATAATATTTTAAATATTGTATCCACCTATACTAAGTAAAACTTGTAAAATCTACTTCTAATAATAATTATTATTTACATATCGTTAAAATTTTATTAGGAAACGGAATATTCTATTTCGGGGATATATTATAATACATAATATAAAGGTACTAATCAAAAAATATTATTGTTAATATTTGAAAATTATAATATAATTATTAAAAAATAAGGTATAATTAAATACTTGAGTAAATAAATAATTGATTTTGTTTGTATAATTTAAACCCCCACGGATTACTTTTCATGTAATTTCAGGTGTGGGCTACAGCCCCCCCCCCCAACATTTCAGCCATAGTTACGCCACTGTCTAAAGGCTGTAACAAGTAGGTATGTTTCGTTATTAAGCAATAGCAAATTTCATTATTATTTACTCTGGTATGAATTAAAAATATTTTATATTGTATACCAGGTATGTTTAATGTTGGTTAATTAGTCACTATAGTATTCATGAATTTTTTTATTTCTACTTTTCTTTAATAATTATTCACCTTTATTTTACCCGGAAGTGTCATTTTTCTATTAGCGAGTGCCAAATAATATTAAAAATTCAATAATATTTGTGCACAGTAAATAATTTAAAATGAAAACTCCATTAGTAACACACTATATATAGTTGCTTTTAAATTTGTCCGATATGTTAAAATTACATGAAAAACGTTTATAAATATTGTTTAGTTTTGCCGATTATAACTGAAAAATTGATTTTTATTGTATCATATAGTATGAGTAAACTCGCCCAACTGATAGGTCTTATGAAAGATATTAAGCGTTAAGAAAGACATTATACTTTTTCTACGGTTAAATAAATTCTGATCTCTCAAACATCAGGAAATAATATGACGTCATCATTGTATATTATTTACTGTAACTACAGTGATGAGAGCCATTACATGTAAATGAAAACTAATATAGGTTTATAAATAGGTGTATAAAATAAAAAAATTAAATATATCCATCATATTCTCTCTTTTTAATGATTTTTCTTAGAACTATTAGGTATTTGTAATACCTAATTACATTCAATATATAGCATCCCGATATTTTTAGTTTCTCTTTAAAAGTATTCCACATTTTATTTTTAAAAATGCATATAGAACCAACATATTTACTGTTATACAAACATATTGAATTTGTAAATTATCAATTTACACTAATGTTTGAGATAACGAAGTAATCATCATTATTTAAGCATACCAAACGTATTGTTTGTTATTAAAATCAACAAAGATTATAAATTGATTAAGGGAGAAATCTAATTTCTAAAGATATTTAAATAAAAACTTTTAAAAATATTTCTGTATCTAACTGTTATTTTTAAGTTCCAAAAATCTCCGAGCAATCAATATATTTTGTTCTTATATATAATATTATTACCTATTTATTATACTATCCAATATATTCACTTTTATTGAATACCCATCATGGCCAATGATGTTATAGGCTATAGCTAATATGTTTCTAGAATTTATACGCTGCCTTTTATTTATTAAAACTACTCAATATGTACATCACATTTTATTATTACATTTAACAGAATAGTTTTTGAATAATAAACATTCTCTATGGACTGTATCTAATTGTGTAATAGGTACCTATAATATGAAATATCAAAAAAAAATATTTTCAACTAATTGAAAATGTTAATATTCAAGTTATACTTTATAGGATTATAACTTTAAAAATAAATAATTTTATTCTTTAAAATTGTTGTTTGAATAAGAAAAAGTTATAACAACCATAAAAATAAATGGTTTGTTTTCGGAATACATTAACATCTCCGATTAAAAAATCGATTTAAACCTATTACAATAAATCTGCTATAGCTATTAATATTACCTTGCCGTAATGTCTGGGAGTATCGTCAGATGCAGAACACGGTGATGGAGGGCAAGAGGAAGTCTCAACATATTCCTGGTCACTCATCGGTTCGTCTTTTATTGAAGTCGTGTCCTCTTTGATACTAATCATTTCAATGTTACCGGTACGATCACATCTCACTTCATCAAACGTCAGCTTACAAGTTCCGTCCTGACTGCTATCTTCGTCCAAATCTAAGAAATGTTAATAACCATAATTAAAAATAAAAAAGAAGTGTTATACACTTATAATACATTGTACTTTTTTTTTTTTTTAATGTACTTTTTATAATTGAAAAAATTTGTGATAGTCCATTGTATTTCAATCCAATACATTTGAACTTAAAAAGGGTATATCTATATTTATATGAGAGAAATTGTAAAAAAATATTATTTAGGAAACAATAATAATTTAAATTTTTTAATATGATCACAGTAATATTTGTTGATGAGGTTATTTTATCGCATATTCGCATGTATCATAAGTTCATACTATGTGCTTATAACACGTATGATGTAGGTACTGTATTTTGCCTTTTTTTTTTTTAAACAGCTACCGCTGTTGTGGTATTCGGTTAAACATCTATACTACACTACACCACATGTATGATATTTTATATTTATATTTCTGACAGTAAAACTTGTGACATTTCCATAAAAAAACGTCAACACCATGAATATTCGATAAAATAATTGCATATTGTTTTCTGTGTAAAATCAAAAATCGGTTGCCAAACCAAAAGGTTACTAGAGAAGGCGTTATTAGTTATTATACATTACATACATCCACTCCGACAATTCGGTTGTATGCATTTCGGCGACATCGCACATGTATTTTACCTAATCAAGTTACTATCAAATGAATGTACTCGTATGATATATTGACATATTATAATAATACCTACGCACCTCATTTAATATTTGCTCTTCAGGAATGAACGAAAGGTTGACATACTGTCGTCTGTCATACTCTAAGCATCTAATAATTAATTTTTTAATATTATAACTACCTATTACATGATATGATGTGTATATGTATAGCCCATGTATAAGTAACAAGTATAGTGATAAGAAAATTACCTAAAATATTCCTAAGTTATATAATATTGTTCATGTTATTCATATTTGATTTTACATATTTTTAATATTTAACTTAAAGTTATATAAATTAAATGAATGACAAATAGTTTATGCACAAAAAGATTATAGGGGGACGAGGTGGCCGAGCGGTCTAAGGCGTCGGTCGCGACGCTGCCGACGCCGGATCGATTCCCGGCCACTGGGCGGCATTTTTCTTCGGGCAAGTCACGGTGTCCGGAGAACAAGTACCGCCATCCCCCACCCGGGCATGGCAGATACCTACGGGTGCCCAAATTGAAAATTCTGCCAAAACCCAACACACACGTGTTCCCCCCCCTACTACAACCAACAATACAATACACCTACAAACAAAACCATACAGCTAATGGCCACAGTTGCCGGGCTTACGTTCAAAAAAAAAAAAAAAAAGATTATATGAGATTGGAAGACTTTTGATGACGACAGGTTATCGAGATTTGAAATAAAATACCGTTTTCCTAGTAGGTAAGTACCTACTACCTATTCGTATCAATGAACTTTTTTTTTAAGGAATATTCACAAGATATAGGGGAATATTCCTTGTTTCCGGGAACTTTCCTTGAGGAATATTCCTAGTGGCCCATCACGGTGTATAGGTATATAATTTTTATATCTATTAAACAAATGACCATTTTCTTTTAGTGGAACACGTAACGGGTTTTGTCTTCCATGACTCACGGCCGTTGCCCCCTCTTCGCCAAAAGCGGTTCACGGTTCTTCTAGCACCATACGCGACGAGTGCATTACATTATATATTATTATTATATTATTCCACGGTACAGAGTATTGTTGGAATGCGGCGAAGAATGTGCCATTTACGCCGAGCTTATATATTATATTATATATTTATATGGCGAATTACGAAACCCGGCGACGAATGATGTGCGGAGACGTGACTCACCTATAGCGTCCAGTGATTCGCTAGACCCGTGTGTAGTACAATACGAGTGTTCGGCCTTGATAGGGGCATTAAATATCACAGCGTCGGTTATCAGACGGTCGTGCAGTACCACGTGAGAATTCGACCGGCCGTTTGCATCGATCAGCCAATCGGACGTGTCTTCTGTGCCTCTCAGCGCGTCGGTAATATCCTGCGGAACACAAACGCTGACGTTAAAAATTGTCGTGAACATAAAATATCATAATATTATATCATACCTATTAATTATTATCATAGTGGGTTAATCGCGGTTTAGGTACCTAAGTAAACTATTTGGTCAGAGAGTCAGAACAAAATAAAATATGTGAGGCACGCGTATATTATAATATATTAAATAATTTATGTGACATTCTCGATCGGTTTAAGTTTTTTAGATTCTGAGTGAAACGATGAATGTATTGTTTTTACAATGATGTGTGTTTTTTTTTTTAAATTAAATTAAATTTTTTATTTTTGTGTCTGTGTAGGTACACGATAAGTAGTCGAAATAATGCTTCGATTTTCAACTTCAATATCTTGTTCGATGGGAAAGTGAATATTGTTGGTGCACTGGCAGGGCCGTAGACACGGGGGGGGTTTAGGGGGTTCAACCCCCCCCCCTTGGAAAGTTTATAAATTTATTTAAAATATTTAAAACTACTAATATATCTTATATATTTAAAAAAAAATTTTTATCAATAATAGTTATTAATAATATTTTAGATGTTTGTGTTGTTATCGGTTATAAGTAAGGTATTTTGTGTATCGTCTAATGGTCGCAATGACAAATCACCATTACCATAACCGTTTTGTTACTGTGATAATTTATAATCTTATTATATGTTCATGTTGATAATACTGAAATTTAAGATAACATATTAATTAGGTATTATCAGTATTATAGTTAAAACTTTAAAAGTTAAAACCGTGCTTAAAAAAAAAACATAGATTTGAGACAAATGATCAGTTTGGCCAATATCAGTATCAAGGTTCTTGACAATTTAAGGGAAAATGTAGATCATTAATTTAAAAAAATGTTCAAAGAAGCTCAAGTAATGAATGCCTTAAATTCAATTTTAATGTTCATTTTTTTAACTATAATTATATTTTTAAATAGAGATTGGCTGAGATGTTAGACTTTGAAATATCAGTCAAACAGCTGAAAAAGAGTCAAAATATTTTCAAAATTGTATGGTGTATAGGAAATGCTAATATAAACATTCAGTGAAATTTTCGTGTATCTACAGTTATTCGTTTTTGTATTACAACAAAATAAGGAAATCGCTACATGAGAAATCGAGTGAATATCCAATGTTGTAAAAATTTGAATTTCAAACGCTCATAAAAATTTAATTTGACTTTCTTATAGACATTTTTTTTTTGATAAATGTAGATAATCTTATTAGGAATCTTGTATTACATTTTCAAATCTTAGATTTAAAAAGAAAAATTTTTACGAATTCTTAACTCAAAATAATTTGCTAATTTTCGTGATTTTTCCATATTTTGTCAATTTTTGAACTTTAAATGCTTATAAAAAAAATTGTGACTAAGGATTTTTAATATTTTTCATCTGCCTTTGAAACAATATACTAGGAGCCTTCTCTTAAATTTTCAAGCTTTCGCAACCAACAAATAAAATGTTATTGATATTTTTAGAAAAAAAACTAAAAAAAAATGGAAAATAAAAATGTGCCTAAACAGTTCAAAATAAATCAAAATATTTTGAAAATGTTATCGTGTATAGAAAATGTAAATATAAACAACCAGTGAAAATTGCATGTATATACGTTTATTTGTTTTAGAGTTACACTAAAAACCAAAATCGATTTTTTGGAAATCCGATTTTGCGTAAAAATTCCCGTTTTCCCTTAATTTTTATGTTGTTTTTCCCGGCGCTTGTGAAAACTACTATTTTTACTATATAAAGTACCAACTAGATTCACTTTCCTATCAGAAAAGCTACTGTTGAAGAAAATCCAAGCACTTTTACTGTCCTAAAACGTGATGACAGACACAAAAAAAAAAAACAAAAAAATAAAAAAAAAACACACATCATTGTAAAATCAATACATTCATCGTTTCACTCAGAATCTAAAAGAAAAATAGATCTGATATTATAACTTATAAGACACTAAAATAAAGATATAAAAATATAAATAATGTGTTATTTTTTTTTTTCATTTACTAGGTATAACATGTTATTATTATTATAATAAACCCCCCCCATATAAAATTCCTGTCTACGGCACTGTGCACTGGGGAAGTCAAAATTTAAAATTCCCAATACAGTTTTTAAAAAAATATAAAAATTAAGGAAAAACGGGAATTTTTAGTTTTTGTTGTAACTCTAAGACAAATGAACGTATGTACATGAAATTTTCAATGGTTGTTTATATTTGAATTTTCTATACATGATACAGTTTTTCAAAATATTTTGATTTGTTTTGAACTGTTTAGGAACATTTTCAGTTTACAATTGTATAAGTATTTTTTTCTATGAATGTCAATAAAACTTTATTTGCTGGGTAAAAAAACTTGAAAATTTAATACAATGCTCCTACTATATTGTTACAATGAGATTTAAAAAATATTAATAATCCTTAGTCACAATTTTTTTTTATAAGTATTTAAAGTTCAATTCTTGTCAAAATACTAAAAAATCACTAAAATTAGTAAATTATTTTGAGTTGAGAATTCATAAGATTTTTTTGTTCTTAAATCTAAGATTTGAAAATGTAGTACAAGGTTATTCATAAGTTTTTTGTGTTTGTATTCCTATATAAGGTTGATCATATCTAATATAATATACCGATGTATGTTATAAAGGTACGTTCGATATTGTTATTATTTATCACCCAAGAAAGTGGAGAAATTTTCGCTAGACACGCGCGAACGAGTGCTGCTGCACCTCCGGCGACATTTTACGACCACCGTAATCAAATAATAATCATGATTGGACAACTTCAAATAATTTGACGGTATATTTAATTTGACATCCGATGCATATGACGTGACGCCCACTCGAATTTATGTCGTCAATATAGTTATACAGAAACACTTACATGCATATTTATTATTTTGTCGATATAATATAATAATCATTCGTTTATATTATTATTGACATCGTTTAACGTTTAATAATCAATAATACCCCTTATAGAAAACAGTACGTGATGTTTGGACGTGAACATGTCACAACTTTAGTACATAATATATATTTTGATGCAAACAGATCAGAGTCGACCGCATAGAAAACATAATATACATTTTGTTGATGAAAAGTAAACAACGCATTTTAAATAAGTCAATATATATATATTATATACTACATAGCTAAAATTAATAGTTGTAAAAATCCGTATGATAACTTTACTGTGGTGTTTTGAAAATATTATAGCGTTATATTTACAAATTGGCCATGTACGTATTTTGAAAACAATACGATAATATTTTACAGCCAGGAAGTTAAATCAACATCTCAGAGCACAATGAGAGCAATATTATATTATTACATTGGTATATATATTATAATATTATTAATTTATAATCATTCAGAAGTGCTCCCCTACCTTTATCATAAATCCTTAAGTCATAAGCATAACGGTAGATCATCATATAATAATAGTTGCTTCTAATTGAATTATGAAATTAAAAGCATTTTCATGTTTTCAAACATAATATTATATTAGTTGTACATATATATTGTTGCCTGGCTTCTTTAATTACTGCCTACAATTATTAAACACTTAAACCTTTATAATACTATAATTTATTTTATTAATAAATAATAATATTACTCTCTTATCTATGATGAGGGAAAATGTGTCATAATGTGACAATAAAGTACAAATACAAATCTAAATAGTAAATAGTCAAATAATCTTCAATGGCCAACATATTATAATATATTATTATGGTAATTGAAATTGCGTTTAGTCTGTAAATAGTTAAGATATTACTTCAAAGTATAAAACTCATAATATAATATGTATAGGTAAAATATATTATTTACTGGCACTTTTACGCATTCATCAGTTACCTAATTTTGTCATAACGAATGATTTAAATGACCCTGTAGACTGCAGAGGACAAGAAGTCGTGAGTTTCCCAATTTAATGCCATTTGATTTTAGTTTAGCTTGTTTGCAGTTGAAATTATATGTATATAGGTATATACCTCCTAAATAAAATATTTTGCTTAACCGAACAAAGTGAAAAACTAGTTTTTTGAATGTATTATAGGCTCTTATACAATATTATCTCTCCAGTTTTCAACAACTAAATAAAATGTAAGTTTATGTATTATAAATTTATATATTATAGTATAATTAATATATACAACGCAACAAATGTATAATTCTGATTATTATTATTTTTTTATTGTAACCATTAAGCATTTTTTTTAGCGATGTCCTCGATATTTTATGAGTAAGTTTTGAATAGCGTTATATAAAAAAAAAAGAAAAAGATAATGTGATAATATTTGGTATGAAATAATCTCTACTGAGCTTCGCATTAATTGGCATCCAACTGAGTTTGGAATTCTTCCATGTCCGTGTCGATGAATATCAAACGAATACATATTTTACTATACTTGAAACTTCATTACCTTCTTGTGTTTTATTGGCTTTACTGTATTGGACGTGGGGCCTATACATACTATAACCACGCTCGCACTACGTACATATTAATATATTATATTCATGACATTTTCCTGTTTAATAGTCACGGGAAGACTGAAGTGATGTGAAAAAACGGTTTGCACACCAAGTTTATTGTATATATTATATTATTATACATGCATTATACCTATACATAGAGTGGATAAGCGGAGTCATCTCGAGGTTTTACACATTAAATCATATAGACCAAATCCTGAGCTCGAATACTTGAAGCATAACCTACATAATATTGCATTATTGGAAAAATGCGATTATCTATACATTACAAGCAGTGTCAAAAATAAAATAATAATAATAGTAAGTATATTACTAAAATATCATTTAATATACATTATATACAAGAATACTACATAAATAGGTAGGTAATCAACACAATTGATCAACACTCTAGTATGAAAATATTGGCTTAGAGTGTACTGTTATAAATATATAATAAATAAATATGGTCATAAAATATATATATGCATTTAAACAGCGATTACTTTTGG